CGGTCGGTTAATTTGGAGGGAATTGCTCATGCAGGCGACCCTAATTAAACTCAGTGGGTCTCCAGGACAAAACAAAGATGTGAGAGTCGGAGGAAGACTTGGGAAGAAGCAAAGATTCAGCAGGAGAGGGAGGGGGATGAGAAGGGATAACGGGGAGGTGCCTTAGTTAGGGTTTTCATTGCTGGGAAGAGACACCATGACCATGGCAACTCTTATAAAGGAGAACATTTAGTTGGGGTGGCAGCTTACAGCTTCAGAGGTGCAGTCTATTATCATCATGACGGGGAGCATGGCGGCATGCAGGCAGATGTGGTGCTGGCTACATCTTGGTTTGCAGGCAATGGGAGGTCGACTGAGACACTGGGCGGTATCCTGAGCATAGGAATCCTCAAAGCCCACCCCCACAGTGGCACACTTCCTCCAACAAAGCCACGCCTCCTAATAGTGCCACTCCCTATGAGATTATGGGGGACAATTACATTCAAAGTGCCACAGGAGGGATATGGGAAAAATGGCCAAAATACATGATATCCCTAAGTAAGCAGGAAATTTGTCAAAGAATAAAGAAAAAATAATAATTGAAAATTTTCATCCGTGTGTGTGTGTGTGTGTGTGTGTGTGTGTGTGTATGTGTATGTGAGAGAGAGAGAGAGAGAGAGAGAGAGAGAGAGAGAGAGAGAGAGAGAGAGTGCTACTGGCATGTCTGTCTCATTTACTTTATCCTGTCATCAGTTGATAGGAAGTTTTTTTGTTTTTTAATTTCCATTTCTTGGCTATTAGGAATAAATAAAAGCACGAGAATGCAGGTGTCTCTGGTTTATGGATATGGTCTCCTTTGGGTAAGTGCTTCATACCTAGAGAACTGGATCATAGTGGTACAGTCTAGGGGTCTCTGTCGGGTTCGCTTTCTCTGCCAGTTAAAGAAAGAAAAAGCAAGAGCAACCTGCAGGGCCACAGGTAGCGGCGGCAGAGACGTCCCAAGCACCCAGACAGAATCAGCAGTGGAAGAAAGGCATTTGCTGAGGATGAGGAAACACACACACTTGCAGCAGACACACACCCTCTGCAAAGCGGGGGGACTGGGAAGCCCCAAAATCGGTCTCTTCATGAGGGATGGGGGTTTCAAAGCCTTTGAAGAGGTTTCCTCCCCTCATGTAGTCAACTGTTGTGTGTCTTGTCCTGATCAGGCCTGAAACTGGTTGAGCCAGTCCATCAGCAGGGACCCGCTGGTGGGAGACAGAAGCTGCCAGGCTTTTGTCTCAAGTCAGGAGGGTGAGGTCAGAAGCCAGACATCTTGGAAATTCGCCACCTTTATGACCTAGCCATGGCCCTTCTCCCTATCTGTCTGCCTACCAGAGAGTCTGTCTAACTCGTGGTCTCTCAATGCGGTTGTTCTGTTGTGTTGGGAGAGCTGGATCATGTGGTCCCATTGTTCCTCGTGTAAGGACCTCCTGTGCTGCTTTCTGTAAGTAGTTCGCATCCCACCCATGACATCTAAGGCTCCCCCTTCTTTGCATTCTCTCAGCACTGTGACCTTCCGATTACAGCTATTCTGACTCCAAGGAGGGAGGTGATACTCTCTTGTGCTTTTCGTTTTCAGTTCCCCAGTGATTCATGATGTCGTGCACTTTTTCATGTTCCTGTCGGCAATTTGCGGGCATCCTTTTGAGCAGTGCCGATTTCGACCTGTTGCCTGTTGCTTAATTTAGACTGCTTGCTACAGAGCCATGTCAGTTCCTTCTGGGTTCTAGGTAATGATCTGTATCAGATGTGCAGTGTGAGAGCACTTTCTCAAAGCACACCACTCAGCTATAGTAATCAAGGCAGCAGGACACTGACACACGCCACGGTGCCGACAGAAATACGCAAATGCAAAGGAACACAAAACCTCTAAGTTACCACATGAATTCACAGTCAACTGATCTTTGACAAACCACCGCTATGCTATGGCTTGGGTCAGGTTCCCCAGAGGCCCGTGTGCTAAGGCTGGATTCCCAGCCCCTGGTACTCTAGGGAAGGGGTAGAAACTTTAAGAAATGGAGCCTACTGGGAGATTTCCCAGTTGCTAGGGAATGTTGTACATTTTTGGCTCCAAGCGCTTTCCCATTTCATTCTTTCATAGCTGAACTGGCCTTCTCCACCCCACATTCTGCCTTAATGTAGCACCTGCCACAGGCTCAAGACAATAGAACCAACTGATCATGGACAGACGCCGCCGAAATACACCTTTAATTTTTTTTTAAACTGTTTTATCTCAGGTATGCGTTGCACTGACTAACGTGGGCACTGGAATAGTTACTGTGGAAAGGACTGTGTCCTCAGTAAATGGTGCTGAGGAAACTGGAGGTCCACATGCAGAGGGGAGAAACTAGATCCTCGTCTCTCACCATGTGCAACATCGACTCTAAGCATGTTACAGACTACACGGGAGAGCGGAAACTGAGACTCCTGGAGAGAACCAGGGCGATGCTTCTGTGTGTTTGGACACCAACAGCCTAGTGCTTCTTAGTTCGTTCTTTCCATTCGAGGTTGTTTTAATGAGGATTTCTCCTCGTTGTGTTTCTCAGTTTTGTAAAGAACAACATTGTTATTTTAATAAGGATCACATGAAATTTGCTAACCCTTCAGGTGGTGTGGATAGCTGCTTAACACTGGCTTATCTAATCCCACAGGTGGTGTTCAACTTCTATGTGTCCCGTCAATCACTTTCATTCAGTTTTCTCTTTAGTTAAATTAATTTCCAGGTCTGTCTGTCTGTCTCTGTCTCTGTCTCTCTCTTTGTCTCTGTCTGTCTGTCTGTCTGTCTCTCTCTCTCTCTCTCTGGTTCTTGCAAACAACCTTGCTTTCTTCTGTTTCAGATAATTATCTACTGGCATGCTGCAATGGTACTGATTTTTTTATGTTCATTTTGAATCCTATCTCTTGGCTGAATTCACTTACAGGTTCTAAGATTTTTGGTGGCGTCTTTGGGTGGGGTACTGCGTGTTTAACACCATGGTATCCTCCAGTGCTACTGACTTTTTTCCATTATTTGCACTTTGGATGCTATTTATTCATTTATTTATTTTTTTCTGTTGCCTTCTTGCTGACCAGGATTCCTAGCACTGTGTGGAATAAAAGTGGCATACGTCAGCATTCTTGTCGTGGTCAATCACCTGGAGACAAAGACTTCCACTTTCTTCCCATTCAGGATGATGCTGACTTGTTAGGTCTGGACTTTATCAGGTTAAAAGACATTCCCCCCCTTTTTATCATCAAGAGGCTTGGATTCTATCAAGGACTTTTTCTGTGGGTATTGGGATGCTCTGATGGTTTTGTGCTTCATTTTGTTGGGGTGTGTGGGGGACCTGCTGTATGTCAACTTGACACCAGCTAGAGTCATCCGAAAGGAGGGAAACTCAACTGAGAAGAGCTGACTGTAGGGCATTTCTTAATTAGAGACTGATGGTGGTGCTATCCCTGAGCCAGTGGTATCCTCATGTGCTACTGACGTACATGCATCATTTCCATTTAGGATGCTGTTTATTCATTGATTTATTTTCTGTTGTCTTCTTGCTGATCCTGGGTTCTGTAAGAAAGCAGACTGAGGTAGCCATGAGGAGCTAGCCAGGAAGCAGCAGTCCTCCATGGCCCCTGCATCAGCTCCTGCCTCCAGGTTCCTGCCCTGACTTCTTCAATGATGGACTATGACATGGCAGCCTAAACCAAATAAACCCTTTCCTCCCAAGTTGCATTGGTCAAAATAGTAACTAGGACATGGTGACTGACCACATTTCTTGGCTGACTTATGTTGAGCCATCCTTCCCTCCTTGGGATGAACCTCACTGGATGGTGGTGGAGAATATTTTTAACATCCTGTTGGATGTTTTGCTTGTTAGTATTTGTTGGAGAGTTGTATTTCGGTGTTTATTAGGAATTCCAGCCTGAAGCTGTCTTTTGGTCAAGGCTGGCCTGGGGCCAGAGAAATGGCTCAGTGGTTAAAAGTAGGTTTTAAAAAGTAGGTTAAAACCCAGACAACCTAAGTTTAGTACCCAGCACCCACATTAGGCGGCTCACAACCACCTATAACTCCAGCTGCAAGGGAATCAATGCCTCTGGCTCTGTATGATATATATATATATATACATATATGTGTGTGTGTATATATATATATATATATAATATAATTCAAAATAAAAAAATCTTAATACAAAGATAATGCTGGCCTCATCAAGTGAGTTTGGAAAAAAATCTTTCCTCTTCCTCTTCCTAGCACCAGCCTTTTAAATTTTACTTTCTTTTTTTTTTTTTTTTTTTTTTTTTTTTTGCTTTTTCGAGACAGGGTTTCTCTGTGTAGCTTTCTCTTTTCCTGGAACTCACTTTGTAGCCCAGGCTGGCCTCGAACTCACAGAGATCCGCCTGCCTCTGCCTCCCGAGTGCTGGGATTAAAGGCGTGCGCCGCCGCCGCCGCCGCCGCCGCCGCCGCCGCCGCCACCACCACCCGGCAACCCTTTTTAATTTTAGACAGGGTCTTACTACATATCCCTGGCTGCCCTGGAGCTTACTGTGTAAACCAGGCTGGTCCCAGACTCACAGAGATCTTCCTGCCTCTGCTTCCCATGTGCCAGGGAGAAAAGGGATGCGCCACCATAGGATGCGTCACTACCCACCACCACCATCATCATCATCATCATCATCATCATCATTTTTTTTTTTTAACAAATGAAGAATTGACATCACCTTTAAAAATATTCGGGGGTTGGGGATTTAGCCCAGTGGTAGAGCGTTTGCCTAGCAAGGTCAAGGCCCTGGGTTCAGTCCTCAGCTGGGGGGGTGGGGGTGGGGGGTGGTGGTGTAATATTCGGTAGCAGTGAACAGGGAAGCTGCTATGGTTTAGGTGAGTGAAGGCCGGGCCTTCCGGGTTGTCCTGTCAGGGGGACATGGAACCTCTGGGAGGGAGCCCCGAGGGAAACCCTTGGGTCATTGGGGAGATAACATTTTTCTTACTACCCCTTTGGTAGTTCTCGTGACAGGACAGAAGCAAGAGAAGCTTCGCCTGTGGTGTCCCCGTTGGTTGGAGATGCTGACACTCGCTTCCTCCCACACATGTTTCTGTTCTTGCTGGGTGGTGAGGTGGCGCAGCAGAAGGACGGTCCTCAGCATACTGCCGCACACTCTGCCGTTTCAGAGACTGAGCCTTCAGAACTGTGAGCCAACCTTTCCTTCTTCATAAATAGCCCGCGTCAGGCATCTCCTTATAGCGTCACAAAGATTACTGATAACAGACGTCATGTGGTTCTAGTTTATGTGACTGAGAAGTTTTTTATTATCTATTATTTGTTCAATCTTGTTGGTTTATTCCATCATCATTGGTCTGTGCCGTGGTCCCGCCGCAGCCTGGGTTCAGGTCCTGAGATGGGGAAGGGACGTCCGTGTGAAGAAATGAAGTGTCTGACCACCAAGTGGCTGGCCCCAGTAGCTCTAGCCATGTTTATTTACACATCAAAAACAAGCATGTTTTTCTATCCTAACAAACAAGCTTTTCCCATCCTCCTACGTAAACCTCGGCAAAAACAAATATGTCAAATATGGTTTTTTCCCAACTTTTCATCTAAACATCTTTAAACCAAAACAACACTTACCAATTTGCTGGCTTGACAAACATCGAGCCAGGTACATCCTGTCTTTACAAAACTAAAAGGTGATTGACATAGGCACACATTTTCAAAAACAACAATCCCCATTCAAAACATACTTACAGAAATAGGGGTGACCTGCCTCCGAGCACTGAATCAGAACAGCTCCTGGGGTCTGAAGTGACAGCTGGCATCCCCAGACAAGAAACCTGAGGAGCATCAGCTCCCAAAGAATTTTAGGGGAAGATATCCGAGAAAAAAATGGGGTTTCCAGGAATGATCACATCTGTCCCATGCATGACTGACAAAATGACCCTAAATCTGCCAAGAGAATCATCAATATTATGAGAGGGAAGAGAGCAGGCAGGTCATGTGGTCCCAGCAGTATTCTGTGATGTCCTCTGGTCCTAGCCGAGTGAGACTGTCTCCAAGGGCTTTTGCCTCATCTGGAGACCCTTTGGACAAGCACTCCTAGACTGGTCTAAAACCAGGTTGCATGGCCCCCAACAGGTCTGCTTGTCCCAGTTTTCCATTTCTTCATGCCTGAACTGTGGCCGTGTGTGGTGGTACATGCAAGCCTTTGATCCCAGCACTCCGGAGACAGAGGCAGGTGGATCCCTGTGAGTTCAAGGCCAGTCTGGTCTACAGAGTGTATTCCAGGACAGCTAGGGCTACATAGAGAGACTGTCTTTAAAAAAAGGTTTTAAAAAAAAAGAAAAAGAAAAAAGATTCAATTATGGCAATGTATATTTGTCCAGACAATTTGTCAATTTCTTCTAAGTTTTCAGATTTGTTGACAAATAATTGTTTAGTGATCCCTTGTGTGTAACGAGTCTTTCTCTGTCCTGCCAGCCAGCTCCCAAATAACTACATGGAAACTTATATTAATTATGGAAGCTCAGCCTTTAGCTTAGGCTTCTCTCAACCAGCTCTTATAACTTAACCCACTTATTTTAATTTACATTCTGCCGCACGGCTCGCTACCTCTTCTCTCCCTACTGCTCATGTGACTTCTTCCATGTCTGGCTGGCAACTCTACCTTTCTTCTTCCCATAGTCCTCTCTGCCTCCCGAAGTCCCGCCTGTACCTCCTGCCTAGCTATTGGCCGTCCAGCTTTTTATTACATGGATCACAGCAATACATTTTCACACGTGTGCAAATTCACACATTTGCGTTTCTGATGTCAGTTGTAATGTTTCCATTTTCATCTCTGATTTTATTTGTGGTCTTTGGTCTTTGTTTCCTTTGTTAATGTGGGTGAGTTTTCAATTTTGTTTACCTTTTCAAAAAATAACTTGTTTTTTGTTCATCTTTTTTTTGTTTGTTTTTTTGTTTTTGTTTTTGTTTTTCGAGACAGGGTTTCTCTGTGTAGCTTTGTGCCTTTCCTGGGACTCACTTGGTAGTCCAAGCTGGCCTCGAACTCACAGAGATCCACCTGCCTCTGCCTCCCGAGTGCTGGGATTAAAGGCATGCGCCACCATCGCCCGGCCTTTTGTTCATCTTTTTGGTTTTGTTTTGTTTTTAGTTACTGTTTCATTTAATTTATTTTCATTCTGATGTTATTTTCTTCCTTCTGATTTTGGATCTGAATCTTCTTATTTTTCAAGTCCTTAAGGTGCCAAGATGGTTATTTATTCAAGATTATGTGCTGCTTATGGAATGGAGATGCCAGTTGGTCCAATGTCTCCGCACGGTTCCTGCTGCTGCTTTATGTAGGCATCGGTGTGCTGTCTTTCCGACGTCGTGCATTTGAAGATATCTTGTGACTTCTTATTTTCTTCATTAACCTGTTGTGAGTCAAAGTTTAACTTTATTGGCAGTCTTGGAGTGACAGTGTGAACAAATCTCCTGCAGCAGTTGGCTTGGGTGTGTGTTGTATAATTTCCATAGGTTTGTGTGGTTCCTAAAGCTTTTCTTGTTTCTAGTTGTATTGCATTGTGGTTGCAAGAGACATTCAACATGATGATCTCACTCTGAAAACTGAGACCTGTTCAGTGGTCTGTTGTATGATCTAGCTGGGACAATGTCACAGCATCGATGAGAAGACTGTATTCGGCAGCTGTTGGATGGAATGTTTTGTAGAAATCTGTTATGTCCATTTGGTCTAGGACATGCTGTAACACAAATTGCTAAATGGACTTATCAATAACTCAGAGCCAGATATTGGAACGAAAGCTGAAAGATCAGAGGGATAGAACAAGCCAGCCACAAGTTCTTACCACTAGGAAATCCTCAGCCCAAGAGAGCTACTTCCTGTGTACTCACGCCTTATATACCTTTCTGTGCCCTGCATCTTACTTCCTCTCTCTACCCAGCTACATCACTTCCTTTTTCTACCCTGCTCTATCACTTCCTGTCTGTCTGTATAGACCTCCAGACCTCTGTGGTTAACTAGCGCTGTACTGGGATTAAAGGCATGTGCCACCACGCCTGGCTGTGTTCCCAGTGTGGCCTTGAACTCACAGAGATCCAGATGAATCTCTGCCTCCCGAATGCTAGGATTAAAGGCCTGTGCTACCACTGCCTGACCTCTATGTTTAATATAGTGGCTGGCTTTGTCCTCTGATCCCCATGCAAGCTTTATTTGTTAGAGCACAAATAAAATATCACCTCAACATGATTTAATAAAACTCGGCCGTTTGATGGTTTTCAGCCTGAGTGATCCATCCATTGCTGATGTGGAGTTATGGTACCGCACACCGCCATCTAATATAGTTCTCCCATGTTGATCAGTGTTAATCTGTGTTTGTGTGCTCTGTTATTGGGTTTTCACACACACATCTACAGTAATCCCTCTTGCTGACTGACTCTTTTGTCGTTGTACGATGACTTTCCTCGGCCCATTCTCTACTTTCAAATTAAAGACTTCTTTCTGTGCGTGATATGAGTGTGGCCATTTCATTTCACACACACCCATCTCTTCTCCTCCATCTCCAAACACGTTTACCTTTGAGCTCTCTGGCCTTTTTTTTTTTTTAATCTGCCTTTTCTTTCTTTTCAGATACCTTCTTCGATGACTAGTGTTATTGTCAACTTGGCCGAATCTAGAATCGCCTGGGAGACAGGCTCCTGGCCATGCTTGTGAGGGACTATCTTGATTGTCTTAACTGATGTGGAAAGAGGTATAGCTTGACTGGGCGTGGTCAGGGGATCCTGAACTGTATAAAGCTGAGAAAACCAGCTGAACATTGGCTAGCATTCATCCCTCTCTCCTTCCTGACTGTTGATACAATGTGACCAACGGCTTCAAGCTCCTGGACTTCCTCACCCTGATGTACAAGGGACAGTGGTACCTTGAACTGCTGAGTGGGAATAAACCCTCCTCCATTAAGTCGCTCTGTCAGGACATTCTGTTATGACAAGGGCGGAAAGAAGCTAAGACAGCGTCTGTCATGTTTTTCATTTCATTTGAGCATTTTTTAGTACCTGGATCTTAGAGATGTCAAGTTTCTCCCATCTCCCTGCTGTGGCTTTGATAGAGGATGGAATTGTTTCTTGGGGTTTCCTTGAAGTTTGCTGAGATTCCTTAAACCAGCTACTGTACATTCTCTATCTGAGGGGGTGGAGAGATGGTTCAACCGTTAACAGCTCTGGCTGCTCTTCTAGAGGTCCTGAGTTCAATTTCCAGCACCCACATGGTGGCTCACAACTGTCTCTATCTGTAGTCCTGTGGGATCTGATGCCCTCTTCTGGTGTGCAGAGGTACATGGAGACAAAACATTCATAAAATAAATGAGTCTTAACAACAAAAACTCCTGCCTGAGATTTCAGGTGTCAGTTTCTTAGTGGCCAATTTTGGGCATCCATTAGCTGAGGTCATGACTCCTTTAAAGTTTGTGTTTGTTGGCGTAACAAGACACTGCATTTTGAAGGTTTGATAGGGTCTCCTTTTTCGTCGCCAGGCTCTTGCTCTTTGGGGGTTTTCTCTAAGGTGGTGGTCACTGCTGCGGCTTCAGCAGTAGATGGCGCTCTAAGCCCAGCTTGGCCACCAGTCCACTGTTCCTGCATTGCCCAGTCTTCACACTAGAGGTCTTCCCAAGTCCAGGGTGCTTGCACATCAGTGGCTGGAATTGCTGCACGCGATGACCTGCTCTGGTGCCTTCCAAGTGTAGTCCATCCCCACAAGCCTCTGCTTGGCTCCAGGGGAGGTGCAGAAGCCTCATAGTCCCTGGCCCCAGAACTGGTTTCACCACAGAGAGCCCACCTCTAGGCGCTAAGGCAGTCAATCACCTGTGGCTACCTTCCTCTTCCCGTCTGATGTGGACTGGGCTCTATTTTGCTGCCTGGGTTTGAGGGGCCTGAGTTCTAAGCCTATCGCCTGAGCATAATTCCCCCTTTCTCTCAAGCAGAGCTGTCTCTCTCTGTGCTGTGCTATGTGACTTTGTGGCAGAGGTCGCTCGTAGGCAGCTCTTCCTGCACTTTTTAACGCACCTTAAAAAGATAATTTGCTCTATGTATATGTTGACCATGGCATGTTCACATATGTGCATATTTTTATCATACTCACACCTGTTACCCTCTGTCCTCTGCTTCCATTCCCGCTAAGTGCCTCCCTCATTCCAACGACTCCCCCTTCTAGTTTTTTGTTTGTTTGTTGTTTTTCTTAATGACCCAGGGAGTTTATTAGGGTTGCGTGCAGGAGGGGCGTTACCAGAGCATGGGCTCCTCACCAGTGGCAACACCACTGGATCAGATTGTGGTGCCATCTTGTCTTGCCTTTTTATGGGGGGGGGCGGTAATATTTGGTTATTTCTTTTAGAAAGGCTTTATTTTTATTTTTAATAATGGTATATATGTATGCAAGGTGGACATTTGCGCACATGAGTGCAGATACCTGGGGAGGCCAGAAGAGGGCATCACGTTCCCTGGAGCTGAGGTTGCTGGCGTTTGTAAACTGCCCTGTGTGGGTGCTGGGAACTGAATTTGGGTTCTCCGAAAGAGCAGCAGTTCTCTGACCTGCTGACCCATCATCTCTCCGGCCCCTGCTTTGTCATTTTCAATGTACAAGCTTTGCATTTCTTTTGCCAATTTTATTTGTAAGTGTTTTATTATTTTTTTGCGTCATTTTCAACAAGACTGTTTTTCTTGTTTTCATCTTCAGGTTGTCCATAGCTGGTCCATAAAGCGTAATAGATTTATGTGTTTCTACAACATAGCTAAACAGTCTGTCTTTTTGATCCTTGTTATTGATGGTTGTTATTGGCTCTTCAGGATTTTCTCTTCAGAGTGCAGCTGCTCATATCTGCACTCAGTGTTTTGCAGTGCTGGTTTTAGTTTGAAATAATTCTTATTCTCCTAAAGATCGAGCTGTATGTTTCAGAGCAGAGCGATCAGCTAGTGTTGGTCCGCAGTCATCATCAAAACTCCCAAGGTTGTAAGGCTTCCATCTGTGAATGTGGATTTACATTCGGTTCAGGAAACGGATTTCCGGTCTGAGAAGCTGTCAGGTCTGAAGTGACTTTTCCTTCTCTTAAAAAATACTTGTTTAGTTTTAATTATGACTTTAATTATAAAAGAAAACGTTCCAGATCACCACCAGACAGAAGCTGCTGGTATGGGAGGGGGAGGGTAGTGGAGGGACGGGGGAGGGACGGTAATTTTTGACCCGCCCCCACTTTAACTCCAAATCACATTGTTGCCCTTGTTTGCTGCTGGTCTTCAAGGTCAACTCCACGCTCTGAAGGTGAAGGTAGAGGGTACCCCTGAGAGTGAACACATGCCATGGCACCCAGGTTCCACCCAGAGGCCAGGGTGCTTTTTTGTGTAGGTAGCTATGGGGCCCTCAATTTCCTAAACCCTAAAAACAGCAGCTTTGACAATAACATCGGGTTGTGATTTTTTCCAGAAAGGTGTTGCTGTCTCTGCCTCTCGGCAGGTGGAAGAGAGCCTGACTACACTTACTTATCCACTTCCTGCATCCAGGCACAGCTGGATTCCACAGCAGCCCCGCGAGGGTGGTGATGTCTGGCTCTGCCTTACAGAAGGAAAGCTGAGGCCTGCAAAAAATGAACTGCTGAGCTTTAGGGTGCCGGCTGACTCAAACCCAGAGGCTGGCGGTAAGCAGGTTCACTAACCAGCATGTCACATTCCTGCATTCCTGTCTCTGGCCTGGTGTTTAATGATCAACTCCTTCCCATAGCATTCTGTTTTCCTTACAGAGCTTTTTTGGGGGGGGGCACTTCTCCCCAGTTCTGTCACACCGTGCAAACCACCGGTCCTCACGCTCCCTGCTGAAATGGAAACAGCAGTTCTAACTGTCCCTTAAACAAGTGACAATTTATAACACCTAAAAAGAGTTTGAAATCCAGGGTTCACTGTTGAGGAAGACAATGCCATGCATCCAACTGGCTGGACCAGCCTCCCTATTCCAGGGATTAGCCAGGAGCAGGGATCAAGGGCCACTGCATGTTAACCTTTCCAGACTGGCAAGATGGAGTCTTTCAAGGTCGGGTTCTTCCATTAAAAAAATAATTTTTTTTTTGCAAGTACTCTTGGGTGTGTGTGTGTGTGTGTGTGTGTGTGTGTGTGTGTGTGTGTGTCCCTGTCCTGCATACTCAAGTGCACATGTGTACAGATGAGGACAACTTTGCATGAACTGTCTCATTCCACCACGTGGGACCCAGGAGTTGTAGGACTCAGTTCCTCTTCTGATTTGCTTTTCAGTGAGCCTTGAAATGGGACGCCATTCCGTGTGTCCACTGTCACTCCGTAGTCTAAAGCCTTGAAGACAACTGGGTTTTCTTTAGTCACCAGTACCTGAAACGGGAACAAAGGAAGTTCGTCAAAGCTGAGCAGATGCGACAACAGAAAGAAAGAAATAAAGCTTCCGGTTGATTCTCATTCACACAGGTCTCAAACTCAGTCAGAACGTGAGCACACTCCAGGGCAGGTCCCGTGCCCGGTAGACGGCAAACACGAAACAGACTCCACGGCTTTTGTGTATGCCTCTGCTTTACTCTGGTATTTTCTGTCTTGCTCGTTTTCTCTTTGTTCTTTGCTTTCACCCTTCTTCTTTCCTCCCTCCCTTCCTCCCTCCCTCCCTCCCTCCCTCCCTCCCTCCCTCCCTTCCTTCCTTCCTTCCTGAGGTTGGGTGGGTATGGAGATGGGGGGTGATCTGGGACACATTGCAAAAAGGGAAGAATATGATTAAGATGTATTGTATGAAAACAATTTAATAAAATGTTTTAAATGGTTGGGGGGGCGGGGGGACAAAAGGCCAGGTCCGATTGACAAATGGGGCATCATCCCTTGCGGTGATGGCGGGCTGAAGAAGACACAGCTTAAGGAATGTGAATCCCAGAGTCCTTTGCTTGTGGGAGTAGGCCCTGTGGTGTGCAGCAGACAGGCCAGGCTGTTTCATTTAACTCTGTCTCCGGTGCGTCTGTTCAAATAGCAGAGGCTAGAAAGCTACCAGCGATGCGTTTTAGACTCCCTGACAGCTAAGCGTCCTGGCTGACATGAATTCCCACCACTTGTGTGGGCGCACCTGAAATCTGAAAGGCGGTATTGGACAGGACTGTCCTCTGAGCTAAAACCGCCACCATCTGCATGAGGTCAGCTGTGCCTGCCTGCAAACGATCCCCGCAGCTGGGCGTCTTGACTGTTGGCATTCCTTCACAGAAGGAGTATTCAGCCACGCCTCTCAACCAGGTGTATCCAGCTCTGCCCGACTTGCCCAGGGCCTCGGGGAGGGGCTAGAAGTGGATAGGGAGGAAGGATTAGGGAGGGGTCTCCATTTGTGCGGCCGTGAAGTAGTCCTCATCCATGCTGGGTGTAGACATTCTGGTGTGGCTACTTCAAGACCATCCACACCGCTGCCCATAACCCCAGTGCTCAGTAAGGAAGTCGAAAATGCACGGGTTCCCCGAGTGAACGTTGGAGGTATCATACCCTCAGTTTGCTGTTGGACCTTTGGAAGAGGGGTAGACACTGTCCCCCAGGGGAGGGCATTTTAGCAATAGGTAGACATCAGACAGAGCTGTCTTCCTGCTCTTCCGGCTATTTTCTGATGAGAAGGAAGGCTGTCGTCTCATGTCTGAGCGCCGGTTCCCGGGATGTTGAGAGCTGATCGCAGCACACCACAGCTGGAATCTGTAATGCCCTTTTGCAGGTTTTGTGGGCTTGGGGATCCGTCATGGCGGTGATAACAGCGATGGTTCTGTGTTGTTCTTCTGTTCCATAGCCCCAGGGGTGGTGTTTCCTTGGGAGGTTGCTGTGGTGAGAGCCGATCCTGAGGATTGAGTCCCAAAACTGATCCCTGGCACCCCCAAAGGTTCTATAAACGTCGAATTTCCTGCGTACCCATGTCTGCTGAGATGACATGAATCATTGGGACTCCTGTATCAACTCGCATGTATCATGCATGTATAGCATGAGAGAACAGGAGAAGGTTTCGGGTGCATTTGATTTAGTATGTATGAAAGTTGCATGTCTGTGTGTGTTATGTAATTAGTGTGTTAAATCTGCGACTTCACAGGCATTTAGTCTTGGACTGTCTTAAATATACTAGGTGTTATTGTTAACATCCACCATCAACACAGCCAGTCTGGGAAGAGGGCAAGTAAGGAATTGCCCCCATTAGACTGGCCTGGGGACACATGTCCCCGTCACTTCTTTGTCCTAAGAGGAACCTCAGTTGAAAAATATCTCCATCACGTTGTCTGTAGGCAGGT